GGGCTGGGCCGGCTCAGCTACGATGTCCAGGTCCAAGGTACGGTCGTAACTCGGCACGTGGACGTCACCGTCCAGACTCTGAAGGTCTGACCCAGACGCCTGTGTTTGCTCCACAGTTCCTCCAGGTGTGGACCACGTGGAGCCGGTGGAGCCGGTCACGGTCGTCCAGGGCTCCCTGGTCACGTTGACGTGCGAGGCCCGCGGCGTGCCCCCCCCCACGCTGACGTGGCTGAAGGACGACCGACCGCTGTCTCTTCACCACAACCTGCTGCTGGACGGACGGGAGACCAGGCTGCAGCTGCCCGACGTGTCCCCGTCGGACGCCGGCCTCTACAGCTGCGTGGCCAGTAACCAGGCAGGGAGCAGCACCAAGAGCTTCAACCTCACCGTGCTGGGTAACGACCACAGGCCGCCTTTGTTCTCACATCAAAGCCAACGCTCCATTAACAACAGACGTTCTCTCTCCCAAACCCAGAACCTCCGAGGATCTCCGCCTCCACGTCCCCAGAGGAGCTGACCGTGGCGGTGGACGCTCCACTGGAGCTGGAATGCTTCGCTGCGGGCGTCCCGCCCCCCACGCTCAGCTGGCTCAAAGACGGTCAGCCGTTGAAGGGGACTCACGTTGTCCAACAGGATGGACGCTTTGTCCGAATCGGCAGAGTTCAGGTGAACCACCGAGTCGAACCCCCGTCCCTGTCCACGCATGTGGGACACGCCTGCTTTAACCAACTGTCCTCTGTCTCTGAAGGTGGACGACGCGGGTCTGTACACCTGCCTGGCCAGCAGCTCGGCTGGGGAGGACGGACGGAACCACTGGGTCAGAGTTCAAGGTGACTGGACTCACAGGGACGTGTTGTCCAACATGTGGCTCATGGTCAGAAAAGGACCAAATGAAGTCCATACTTTTGGAACTTGTTTACAGACATAGTAAACGTAGACCTGCTGGCTGGGGTCTGTCTGTCTGTAGAGGAACTGTTCCAGACCATAAAGTTCCAGAACACGGTACCGTTAAAGAACACTTTTATAAACTCCTAAATGTTGACGTGTAGTTCTAATGTCCGCCCTCCAGTTCCTCCAACCGTCCTGGGCTCTGGTGACGTGAGGACATTGACGGCACCAGTCGATGGACACCTCACCATGGAGTGCCTGGTGGACACTGACCCCCCACCCACCATAGACTGGTTCAGAGACCAGGTCAAGTTAGAGGTGAGACGGAGTGGGGAGAAAAAAAAGTTTAAAAAAAAAAATAGAACAATTCCTGGGACTCAGGTCTTTGTGTTTGTGTCTTCTCAGTCGGGGGGACGTGTCCAGAAGCTGGCTGGAGGTCAGTACCTGGAGATCCAGGAGGTCAAAGCTGAGGACAGTGGCCAGTACAGCTGCGTTGTCACCAACATGGCAGGAAGTTCCAGTCTGGTCTTCAACGTTCAGATTCTCCGTAAGAACAGTTGACGTTTGTCCACCGCTGCGAACTCTGACCCAGAGGAGCTACAACAATGTCTCTCTACCTCTCTAGTGCCCCCAGTGATCAAGGAGGGAAGTGCACTGGTTACCTCTCAGCTCTCCCAGGACGCACTTCTACCCTGCGAAGTTGAAGGTGACGGATTGACCACCGTCACGTGGCGAAAAGACGGCTTCCGTGTGTCACCTGACGACAAGAAGTACGTCCACGCGCGCGCACACACACAGACCCGGCTACACGCCAGGGAGTACCAGTACTCTAAGACCGTGTACTGTGTGTTTCTGTCAGGTACACAGTATCAGAGGGATCCCTGCTCGTCCATGAGGTGGAGTTGAGTGACGCTGGTCGGTACTACTGCACCGTGTCCAACCAGGCGGGCTCCGACCATCGGGGACTAGACCTACGGGTGTTTGGTAAAGTACTAGTACTCTACTCTATTACTGGACCTTCAGGGTTTCAATCCTTTCAAGACTTTGTTTGTTGTTGATTAAGTATTTCCTGTCAGCGATTATTCAAGACTTTGTTTGTTGTTGATGAAGTATTTCCTGTCAGCGACCGAAAAAAAAAAAAAAGACAAATAAAAACAGATATCTGTCCTGCTCCGTCTTAGTGAGTCCTTCGATCAGTCCCGGTCCGTTCAACGTGACGGTGACGGCGGGGGGCCGAGCCGTGTTGAGCTGTGAGACCACTGGTATACCCTCGCCTAAGGTGTCGTGGAAGAGGAACGGCTCGCCTCTGGACACCAGTCGGCAGTTTGAAGTCTACAGGTAACCAGGACTCCTTCGTGGTGGCGGTTCCTGCTCACCGTCCAGAAGGTTCTGAGGTTGAATCCTCCAAGATCCAACCAATCCTGAAGGTCAAACCGTTGACAGAATTCTGTCTTCTTGTCCAGAGTGCTGTCCTCGGGGTCCCTCGTCCTCCTAGCGCCATCCAATGAGGATGAAGGTTACTTTGAGTGCACGGCCATCAATGACGTCGGAGAAGAGCGCCGGGTCATCGAGGTCATCCTACGAGGTATTTGTCGGTACGCGAAGTACGTGGATACGGCTGTATGAATACTGATGTTGGCGCTGTCTTCTAGTCCCACCGTCCATTGAAGACGACGTCACAACGGTGACGGCTGTCAAAATGTCTCCGGTGGTCCTGCCGTGTCACGTACAGGGGCGTCCCCAGCCGACCGTCAGCTGGACAAAGGGGGGCGCCAAACTGGGCTCCAGAGGAGGAAGTCATCGTGTCCTGCCCACAGGTGTGTTGTAGTCGATCGGCCTCACGCCTCAGAAGGTCTCCTCCATCTGTGGCTGTAGTGATTCAGAAGGTCTCCTCCATCTGTGGTTGTAGTGATGTAGTAGTGTGTGAAGTAATACCGTGTCTCTCCACACAGGAGTGTTGGAAATCACCGCAGCTTTGCCCAGTCATGCCGGTAGATACACGTGTTCTGCCCAGAACCCAGCAGGGGTCGCTCACAAACACGTTTCCCTCAGTGTCCAAGGTGAACTACCAAGGAAGAGCCTGACGACCGCTAACCCTAACCCGAGATGGAGGTGACCTGCGGTGCTAACACCTTCTCTTCTCTTCCTTCCCAACTCACTCCAGAACCTCCGGAGATCAGGCCGATGGCGGCGGAGGTCCAGGTGGTGTTGCATCATGGGACCATCCTGCCCTGTGACGCCCATGGCTTACCAAGACCCTCCATCACGTGGCAGAGAGAGGGCGTTCCTGTAGCAGCAGGTATGGGTACTGCTAAAACAGGAAGTACTTCAGTACCTCAGTACTTCAATACCTCAGTACCTCAGTACTGCAGTACTTCAGTACTGCAGTACTCAGAGAAGGTTCGAACTCTTTGGTCTGTGTGTTTGAAGGTCACAGACTGGCGGTCCTGTCAAACGGATCCCTCAAGTTCTCTCGCGTCACACTCGGTGATGCGGGAACCTATCAGTGCATGGCCAAGAACGAGGCCGGGGTGGCAGTGGGCAGGACCAAACTGGTGCTTCAAGGTAAGGCGCGGGGGCCACGACAACGTCGTGTCTACCGTAATCCTTGAGGACGTAGCGTTAGCTCCAGTAAAGCGGCGACTTCCTTCTTGTTCTTGACGACCTCACGTCCCGTTTCTCCAGTTCCTCCGGTGCTGAGCGTGCCTCGTGTTGAGCACACAGCAGTGCTAGGCCAGCCCGTGAGTCTGGACTGCGGGGCGGACGGGCAGCCGCAGCCCGAGGTGACGTGGCACAGGGAGAGGAGGCCAGTGGCGGAGGGCGCTCACGTGCACGTCTTTTCTAACGGAACCTTGACCATAACGTCCACGCAGCGCAGCGACGCCGGTCTGTACACGTGCACGGCCAAAAACCTCGCCGGCCGAGCCAGTCAGGACCTGCGGCTGCTCATTCACAGTGAGTGATTGGTTGTTTTTTTTTGTCGGTGACCTCCTGTGACGTCCCACTGACTGATGGGTTCTTCCTCCGTCAGTTCCACCCACGATTGCTCCGACACAGACGGACGTGTCGGTCGTCCAGGGATTTCAGGCTCTGCTGCCGTGCGCCGCTCAGGGATCACCAGAACCCAAGGTCTCATGGGAGAAGGACGGCTCCGGCGTGGCCCACGTTCCAGGGAAATTCACCGTCCTGAGGAACGGAGAACTGATCATCGAGAGAGCGGAGGTACTGTGGGTCCTTCTCTGGTTTTTCTCTGGTTCCTTCACTGGTTCTTCTCTGGTTCTTCTCTGGTTCTTCACTGGTTCTTCACTGGTTCTTCTCTGGTTCTTCTCTGGTTCTTCACTGGTTCTTCACTGGTTCTTCTCTGGTTCTTCTCTGGTTCTTCACTGGTTCTTCACTGGTTCTTCTCTGGTTCCTTCACTGGTTCTTCACTGGTTCTTCTCTGGTT